GCTCCTATTGGTAGAAGTCCAAGAAACATCAGCAAACAGAAAGGTCTACAATTTAGCTCAGATGACATGCTAAGAAATAAGAAATGTCACTCTTGTCATGTCAGTTTGACCTAGCAGTGCCACAGGGAATGTGTTTCAGTCAGTCAAAATTCAGTGGCGCAAGGCCAGGGGCAGTTAGTAGAATCCCCCTGTAAATGTTGGAATTTAACTTCAGTTATATTCAAATTTAGATTGAATAATGCCCCTGACTATTACATATTTTAAGGTCGAAGCTGCCTCCTTGAAAACTGTATATTCCTAAAAACTATCTTCCTGTCTTGTATAAATGTGTTGGAATGGTAAGTCCTCTCTGGTTATGTTGATGATTACATGTAAACACTTTTATGCCAGTCATTTTATCTTAGGTTTCTATATGTGTGTATTCAGACTAAATATCAGTCTGCTGTCATTTTAACCACTGCTTTCTCCGTCTTTCTAGTTCTAATCTTTTAAGTCCTAGACAGTTGAAATATTTTGTCATTTGTGGATCTGACATGTACTTTTTCACTTCAGTGTTTCAAGCTGTTGTGGAGGCCCAGTCCTGCAATATGATAGTTCAGAATTAAAAAGCATCAACCGTGATGTTACAGAAGGTCCAGTCTAGTTTCTGTCTAAAAAAAGCACAGCTAGAGATTTGATAACCTGGCACCATGGATGCCCTTGTTAATAAGTTGCTGTTGGCTCTCGAAGTTGTGTGCAGCGTGGGTGGTGGTGTCGCATTTTTCTTATACCTGTGGTCTGAGAACATCAGTCTCTGGTAGCCTCACTGGCTTACTGCTGGCAGAAGAGATAATGATTATGTGTAACCTAACAAGATGAGCTCATGTGGAACACAATTATCAGGAAAACCAGTAAAATGAAAGAATGAGACTGATTCTCATGGGTGCTGAGGTCTTTTCAGACCACCGCAATCCATGCGGGCAGTTGTTTCCCCTTTCACATGCTTCCTAGAACTCTGGGGGCACAAGGATGGCTGAAAATGCCATTTACTTTCCTCCTCAGAAGTGAATAGACTGCTCATTTGATGAGAGATGGTTGGAGGCTTTTGCAGTCTGCCATCAGGGAGGCTGAATAAATGTCTCTGCTACCCTGACCTATTTTCGCAATTGAATGCCTCCTAGTTTTGTTCCTGAGACGTTGGGCAAAACGGATGGGTTCTGTAGGAGCAGACAGCTGAAGCACTGAGGCTGCGGGCAGAGGTGTGGTGTTCGGTCACTACAGGTGGGTGCTTGGTGCTGCCTCGGACTCATCTTGCCTCAGGGGACTTAGGTCACAGCCTGGCACTGGAGTTGTGTATCCATGTCATCATGGCTAGGCTTTGCGAACGAAGATATAAGAAGGGCTCTACCGACACTTGCTACAAGTGCGCTGATGGCTAAAAAGGCCGATGCAGGATAGGCAAGTCCGGTTGCAAAAGGCACAGCGGAAAGTCTCCTTAGGCGGTATTGGCGAGGCATGGTTCTTTCTGCGTTGTCTTTTCTCCTTTAGGCTCATTCTACATGCATTCTCAAAGGAGGCAGCAGTGTTATGGATGGTGTGTCCCCACGTCTCCCGACTGGAGGCCAGACTGAACCACTGATGGCAGTTAATATGGACAAAACCGAGGTGTTGTATCAGAGAGTCCTTGTATCTCCTCTTTGGGGCTCCTCTGTTGCAGCAGCCGGGGGGGAGTTCACCACAGAGCACAACCTTAGGGAAGCGGTGATCCTCCATCCTGGAGACGTGCCCTGCCCAGCGCAGCTGCGTCCTCAGCAGCGCGTCCTCAGCAGCACGGCCTCAATACTGGTGACCCCTGCCCGTTCAAGGACAGTGACATTAGTCACGTAGTCACTCCAGTGGATGTTTAGGATTGTGTGGAGGCAGCGCTGATGGAAGCGTTCGAGGAGTCGCAGGTGGTGGCGGTAGATGACCCATGATTCAGACCCATATAAAAGAGTAGACAGTACAGTGGCTCTGTAGACACTGAACTTTGTACTTTTCTTCAGGTGTTTATTGCACCAGACTCTTTTATGGAGTTTTCCAAAAGCTCTGTGTGCCTTTGCTAACCTGTTGTCTATCTCTCTGTCAATCTTACCGTCTGAGGAAATGATACTTCCTAGATAGTTGAACTGCTGGACTGACTTGAGCTCTGATTTGCCTGTGGTGATGTGGGGATGATGTGTATCCATGTAGGGAGGGGGAAATCAGGGGGCAGGAGTGAAAGTGGACACTGGTGGGGAAGGTGGGAATCACTGTCTTAGGTATTGGAGGGGACAATGTTAGAAACACGTGAAAACCAGCAGGTTAGTAAGCTGCTGGGGAATTTGTGGTAGGATTACTCCTGGCATCTTTTTTTTCAAGGTGCTGCCAACAGGGATCTTCCTTCCACACCCCTACCCGCCCCTGCCCCGGTGGCTCTTTATGCAAATCAACAGAGTGCTTTGAATTCTTAAGCAGCAGGTCTTTCTGCCATGTAGAACAAATAACTTTTCTTTTTTATTTCTGGTATGAGGAACAGAAGTGGTTATTTGTCTAAGACTTTATTCTACTGCTCAATTACTAGAGAGGGAGAAGTTAATGTAACCCGACCTCCCGAGTGGCACTTGTCTGCAAACTCTTCAGATGCTTACACATGAAATAGTAAGAAGAAAAAGGAAACTTAAATTTGTATTAGGAAGAAGACCCCCACAAACCAACACACAAACGACATTGAGTTATACACAAATGATGCAGATACATACATTTGTAATATAAGGCTTCTTTATTTAATGAAGAGGGTGGGTGGGGAAGAAGATGCTTGTTCTACAGTAGGGGTACTCCACGTATAGATTAAGACATGTATGGAATTCTGGATGAGATCAGTATTTCTTCAGCTGCATCCTTTGACTTTTGCTTAGGAGTACTGGCACCAGAGCACTGTTGAAAGGAAATGATCAGGCTACTGGCAAAGCTTGGATATGGGCTGACAAATGTGGCACAGCTACCGCCCAGCAGCTGTTGCCGTTTTTCAGTAGCTTACTGAGGAGGCACCTGTTGGTTTGCAAAGTCAGGTGGAGACTTTGGTAACAAAATATTTGGCCTGGAAGAGGAGAATATTGGCTACTGTTAAGTCTACACAAAAACTTGTAGTGTATTCTATCCTTTACTGAGTTGGCTTAATTTTCTGTAGAGACATTTGCAGTCTTAAAAACTATTTATATAAGCAGAAGTAAAGGTTTCGTTTTAGGTAACTCTTTAAAAGCTGCAATTAGTAAATAAGGGAAGAAATACGTTTTAATGAACTGAGTGAAGATTGCAGGATGTGGAATTACAGTGTCTAGATTTTTGAGAATTTCTAGGAAATTTTTTGAAGTAGGCTTAATATCCTGACTGTCATTCATAGCTGTAAAAACTTACTGTAATTAATACCATCTATAGATCAGCTTTTGTCTCACAGGTGTGAAAACGTTCCCTGTCAGATTTTTTCAGTATATAAAACTTAGTCCGGTGTTTATTTCCATGTTACATAAAGAACACCCCAGCAGAGTATTTATTTGAATCTGCTAGAAGTCGCTTTTGTTGTTGTCCTCTGCAGCTTACCCTATATAGTAAATGTAAGATATTTGCTGAGAGTTTTGTCTTTTTATTATTTTGTTTCTTATTTTTGGCACTGCAGAACTTCCTCTGTAATTAATATTGGTGTGGATTTTTTCTTCCTCTCATTCCTTGATAGCTTCAACTATCTGTGTAGAAATTTGGGAAGGGATATATGAAATTCATGCAATTATTTTTCTAGTCTCTTCTCTGGTGTTGCAGTTGAGATACTAATTAAAAATAAGAATGCACAGAAGTTACTGTCAATTTACAGCAAGTTTTCTTAGTACTTCAGGTGAGACTTAAATAGACATGAAGTATGTTTTCTATTCTCAATTTAGCCATGCTGAAATATTTTAAAAGAAAATACATAATGAGGTTTGTTTCTTCTATGAAATTTGATTTGAAATATTTGACTAAATATATTTGGTTATGATATCAGAAGTTTGAATATCTCAAAATGGGGAATATAACTAATCCCATCGCAGCATAAAAACTTAACATATCTCATTCATGTGTACTTTGGGCTCCTTGGTAGCAGATACTTAACTGTTGAAGGTGTAGGCTGTGTGACAGAGATCCAACTTCTGAACAGATTAATCTCAAAAAAAAAAAGAGGCGTGTGTGTATAAATGGGTATGTTACAAAACACTTTTCCAAAGATGTAGGATTAAATAATTTATGTTGAATCATGGAAGTTCACTAATGCATTATGTTTTTCATAAATGCCAAGGCACTTAGTATAAAAAAGTAGGCTAGACTTGAGGTACAAATTGTTGTCCATTTCGTCTGTGAAATGGAGGACATCAAAATACTGTGCCCCAATAAAAACAAACGTTAACTTGTGTTATTTAGTTAGAATATTTATTATTTATGTAGGTGCTTTATGTGTTTGTCACACACCAGATAATTATGAAGCTAAATACCAACAGTGCTCTTTGTTCTGTAAAAATCTTTAAATGCTCAGTACTTATCAGACAGTGACAAAAAATCCCAGCTGAGCAGATCAAACAGGCAGGAACTCTAGAGCATCTCCTCTCTACATGAAAGCAGACTGGGTGAGATATAAAAGCAATTAAATGCAGTCGTTCCAGAAATTTTAGTTCCCTGATGGAGTCGATCTGCTGTGTAGTCTTCCTTCATTAACAGCTTCCTGGATAGCAGCAAGTACTTATGCAGTTGGTTGTTTCCCAGTTACCAGTGGTTTATATTGGTCAGATTCTGAAAGCCTTGCAGAGGAATGAAGTCCCTGCTGTAGCAGCCGGTTGTTTGTTAGGCACAGGCACGGGGAGCAAGCTCTGTAACTGGTGAATTTAGATGTCTGCCCACCGGGCAGGAGTCAGCAGCCTGTGACAGTTACTGAGAGAGGAAAATGAATTTAACACGCACATTGCCTCAATCTTTTTCAGACACTGGCCAGAAGAAGACCCCAGACAAGAAAGATGGACGACGAATGTCTTTTCAAAAGCCTAGAGGGACTATTGAATATTCTGTAAGTTACTGCCTTATTGTAAGAATGTCATTGCATAGCAAGTGCAGGCTTAAAGCTTCATTAGAAAATATAAGCCAAACAGTAATGTGCATTACCTTTAATCTTAGAATTCTGTGTATCTGATAGCTTATTTTGACAGGAATTAAATCGAGAAGTGGCTAGCAGTACTTGAATAATGCTTTTGTATTTATATTTCTTTTCTTTTACTTTTTCTTCACAAAAACCAAGCTAATCAGTCTGTTGGCTGGCTCACTTTTAGTTAACTAGTTAGAAAAAGTGAGTAACATTAATTACAAAAATCATGTGCAAGTTCCCTACTTTCAGCATTATTAGTAAACTTGACATTAGGAGAAAGAGCAGAATGAAGTTGGGGAGGGGGGAAGCTAAATCTTGATACTGACCTTCTGGTGCTCTCCTAATTTTTGTAGACCTATACCTGTTACAGTACAGCTCTGTTTCTGCAGCAGTATCTGAAAATGGAGCCTTTCTCTGCCTTTTCTGTTCTTGAAATGACCCTCAAACTGTGCTGCAGTCAGCTTTTCACATTTCTGGTTACTAAGGGAAACTGAAGTGATAAGGAAAACGAAAGTGAGAAGTATCTGTCTTGTGTTATATGCTGGAAATGTAATTAAGTCTATAAATAATGTGTATAAGGTTGACATTAAAATAGGGAAAGTCTGTCACAGTTACCTTTGAATGCTTTTGAAGACAGACATGATAAAATGAAAATGAGAACTTCTTTTTATAAAGGCTTCACTTGACCTCTTGGTGTTTACCTATTCCAAGAATAGGAGATATGTGGGAGACTTAACTCTTAGTGTTACGTTAAGCCAAACCATGGCGTAACTGTGGAGAAGGCTGTGATAGTCATTTGAGAGAGGCAGAGGATGTGTGCATTGGAAAAAGCACTTCATTAGTGTGGCTTATATTGGGAATTTGAATGTAATTCTAGCCTAAACTGAAGATTTCCTTGAAGCTGAAATAAAAAAAAAGAAATTTCTGCTGCTTAGGTTGTAGCAGCTGAAGAACATTAAACTAAATGTGACTGTTTCTGTTGCATTAACCCTATTTTGCCTGGAGCAGTTGAGGAAAAATGCTCAGATGTAACTCTGAAACTGGGGTTCCTCTTCGCTCAGGAGACCACTTCACTCCTTACCACCATGTGCTTGCCTTTATCTTGGTGTGTTGTATTCTAGACAAAGCTAGAGCATCAAGCTTTACTTCTTTAAAGTAGTATATTTGTGTCAAGCTGTTATGTACTTCAGGTTTTTGTGTTCTAGTAGGTGGAGTTTTAGCTGCAAAAACAACTTTCTTACTACATACTGAAGTATTCCATCACTTCCTTGTGAGTCAGAAAGACGATTCACAAGAATCAAAGACTACTTGTCTTTAAAATTAGTCCAGCCTTGTGAAGGAACCTGTTGTGTGTATGGAACATGGGGCATTTCAGCTTTACAAACACCATATTCTATCCAGTATTGCTGTACATCTCTGTCGTGAGGTACTTAACCTCTGAAAACTTGATGTTACTTTTAGTTGTGTGTCATGCACGTATGTTAGTAAAATACACAGAACTAACATTTAGGAACTGCGGTTAGGTTCACTATACTTACAAGAGAGATCTGGTAACTCTTCTGGTAATTTGCTACTGTTATTATTTATAAATTTACTCATGCAGAAAGGTGAATTAATGTCTGGTTTCTGACTTGATTTTGCTGCCTCTTAAAGCAATAACACATACATACACACACATATTATATTTATGTGTATTCATGTGTTGCTACTTTGAGCAGTAGTATAAGAATAAAGGCAGAAACCAGACTCCTCACACCGGTATTGTTGAAAGATTAGCGAGGTTATTTGCTCTGTGGGATTTTTTGGAGGGGATGTGGTTTTGTTTTTCTTAAATAATAGTTTATGTTTTTCCAGAGCTTTGTGGTTTTAGGAGCAAAAGGTTTATTTGTATTCCTGAAGGCTAGCATGAGATGGATTCTTCCTGATGCAAACTGTTTTTTCTAATGTGAAATACAATTCCCACATAACTTGGTTTGTTTTTTTTTTTAGAAGAAGATCATTACTTTGGGGAATAATAAACAATAAAGTATATTTTCTCTTTCAAGCTAAAGCCACAAAGCAACTAAAGATTTGTAGATTAAAAGTCCCAAAGCGTAAAAGCTCAGAATTACTGTTCTGTATGTAGCACCAGTGAGATGTCGATAGATGTGGTACTAAGTGAAGGAAGCAAGTCGTAAGTTGCCTCTAAAGCATACAGAAAACTTTGGTTTATTTTTACTGTTACTGCTTAGGCAGGGAACAGATATTTTTTTTATATTTTTTAAGTTAATATAGCTTCTTGTTTTCTGAATGCCAGTCAACAAATGCAAATTGGTCTTACCTATTATTTCAGAATTCACAGCTGGTGTGCCAAGCCAATTGTTTTCCCCTTCTGCACACAACTAGTGCATGTGAACAGGCTCTAAGGACCAACAGCACAAATAATTTAGGTGAATTATTGTTACTAACTACTCCCTTTCATATGGTGAAAGTAGCATTTTTACATTGCTTATATAACATTATATTCACATTGCATTAGAAGTCTTGTAACATGTTGTATGAACACAACCAGTGTCTGTCAGAAGAGCCAACTACAGATGAATAAAGGAGCATAAGCAGACAGGGTTGGCATGCTAGCAGTTGCATGACCTCAAGAAAAGCCTTCAAACCTCTGTTCCTTTTGAGGAGAAAAGGAAATAATTGGTTATTTACAGATAGTCTATCACACTTGAGAAAAAGCTATACAGGAAAAGCACTTTAAAAAAAAAAAAAGTAAGTGAGCGATGGAGATGGATGATTTGGTTTATCAGTGGTGGAGGCTTCAGTGCAAGACTTCCCTTCCCCTGCCCCACTTCCCTTTTAACTCTTTGGAGGTTGAAGGCTGTACTCTTCTCCTGAAATAGCAGATAAATGCCTAATACACAGAGTATGTTGTCTAGATTATGAGAAGAGCTTGATACCAGTTAATGAAGGTCCAAGAAGATTAGAGCAAACTAGAGTCTTCAGACTGAGTTTTCAGCCAGAGACCTCAGTGTTGAACTACCAGCCTTCCTGCATGTGATCTCTTCCTAGTTATTTAGTGGTAAGTCCAACATCTGGAAACTGAGTCTGGACTCTTTTTTTACTTAGAAACCAGCTAGATATGCATATTGAAAACAAAGCTACAGGGGCTTCTGATGTCAGGTTCTTATGGTAAAACAAGGAGGATTTTCTGATCCTTTCTTAGCTGAAGAACTGTTGGTGGCAAATGGTGGCCATCAAACATGTCAGAGTTTGCTAGACTTTGAACCCACGTGTATACTTGAAATTTCTTGCAATGACTTGCTGAACGTACCTGTTTTCAGAGTAGATAAATGGTATCTGCTAATATATTTCTAGAATAACTGTGGATTTTACTTTCAATCCTAGGGTAGCTTGAGTAGAGGATACTGAAGGTTCTCTCTTCTGGTTCAGCTGGTTTTATTGCCCTTGTAAGCCTTTACATGCTGTTTGGTCTACTCCGTGCTTAGGAGTTTTTGCCCTTTTTTCCTGGTGCTTCCATTTCAAAGCCAAGGATTGCATTTCTGTTCAGCTGTCGCGTTTCTTTGAGCGTGCCTCTGTCAATCTTTTTCCCCAGTTTTGGGGAATTTAGAAATTGTGGATTGTAATGATGATACATTACTTTATCTGTTGCATATTTTATTTATTTTAAAAATTATTTTTGAAGTTGCTTTTATAATATTAGTAAGTTCTGTTTTCCTGATATTGCATATTATGGAAATTAGACCTATAAACAAGTAGTTAACTTAGTTGGAATCTGGTATTTTTTAAGGCTTGGGTACAAAACCAATGTTGTCATCTTCTTCCCTTTGTCGTCACTGCTGTTAGTCTTCGTATCTCTAATTCTCTTAGGTCTTTTTAGTACTCATAATTTGTTTTAGTTTTTCTGGTTCTTGGACAAATAGTTTTGAAGCATATTTAAAGAAAAAATGTGCAGTTTCATAGATATTTACTGTATAATTTTTAATGGAAGTATGAGTGAATTTCAGTTGTTGAGATGCAATGACAGTAAAGTTCATTGAAAATTCAGTAGAGAATTTGATTTTAAATAAGGTTTTTAAAGAGCTTTGGGTGCTAATCTGTCGGAAATGAAGGCGGTTTGAACCTTAGTCAGTGGTGACTCTGAAGTTATTTCTCTGCAGTCAAACATGGGTCTGTAAGTAGTGCTCTGTAAGTAGAAAAGGGGTAATGGGATGTACCTCTGCTCAAATGGGGACAAAATGATTTGAAGAGAGTGTTTGATTTGGGATTTTACTGGAAGAGGAAGATGGAAGGTCTGGATCTCAAGTAGCTCTTTCTGTGTCTAGTCATATCTGTAAAAACACTTTAGCTTAGAATTTTAGATATGCTTATATACATAGGTAAGTGACTATGTAGGTACAAGTAACTCGGTAGTAGTCTTATGTGTCATATCTTCATTTAAGGGAGTTGATGACTAAAAGCTCTTACTGCTGAGTAGGTGAAATCTACTTATATTTTAAGAGACTCTTTTTCAGTGCAAGTTACAAAGCAGAATTTGTGTGTCAAGTTTAACACAATCCTGAATAAACAATTCTTGTTTTCTTTTTACATTTTCATTGATCAATGTCCTTTAATCTTTTTCCAAGTCAGCATACTGAAAGAAATGAAGCCAATGCATATGTATTGAACCACTTCACCAGCTGGCTTGTACAAGTCCATTTCAGATTATTTCAGGCAATAAAACAGTATTTTCACGTATCTTGGTTTTTTTGAGTTTTATTTGCATCGGAACAAATCTTTCCTTTCTGTTCAAGTTGCAAAACATCGCAGTCACTGTTCTTCATCCCCTTCTCTTCTCAAAAGAGGTAATCTTCCCATGAAGGTTAAGCATAATGTTTTAATATCCAAATATTTGTATAACATTCTTAATGCTCAAAATAACATTTAAATATCTTTTTTATGTAGTAGTTTATTTCCTGAGAGAGGAGTGACTTTTTGCCCTCTCTTCTGGTATTTAAACTGATGAAGGAACAAATAATTGGAAAAGCTAGGGGGTGGCTTTGGTATCTGGTGTTGTGTTTTAAATTTGTTAGTTTTTAAACTATGCTTTTCCACAGAGATACCCTTTCATCTTTTGGCTATTCAGATTTTATTTCTTTGAAATAGTAGAAAGTCTGAACGTTGGCAAATAGGCCTTTGAATATAGGGATATACTTCTGCAAGACTTTATTGTGTGAACACTTTCTTTGTTTTAAGAAGATACCAGTGCTGGTTTCTGAAATCCCCTGTAGTGTGGAGATCCACCTGTGAAAATTTACAGCCAAATAAGAGGAGGAGACTTATTTGCTATTTTTATGTTAGTGCTTTGTGAGATAAACCCTTTAGTTGTCAAGAGATCTCACCAGATGGTTTTATTCTGAAGGCTGAAAAGAGTAAATGCATTCTTGAAGGGCATAAGCTTTGTGGGTTGTAGTTGAATACTTTAACTTCTTTTATATGAAAGTTAGCCTAAAATCTCAAATGTTTCCATCCTGAAGTCATACCTAAGGAATATCTACCTTGCAGCTAACTGTTGTCCTCCACCATTTATGTGAGCAAGTTGTTGAATAAGACAAAGCTTTTGAATCTTGCATTACAATTTGGTTTAGCAAAACTTCCTTATTAAGTAGAGCTTCTGACAGAAACGCTATTGTTCCTTGATGTGATTGTGTTTTGCTTTCATCTGTGGGACAGGTAGTATGTATCTGGTCAGGTTAGGGTCCTTTTTGGTTACAGCTCTAGTACCAATTAAAAGTGGCATATGAGAATGTTCTTATTTTTCATGTATCTGTGTGATCATACAGTACTGAATTACTCAGAAGTACTACAGTACAGCCTTTCATACCTGATATACCAGTAGAGATGTTTGCTGCTTTTAGCTTAATGGCTCCCTATATGAAGAATTGTCATAATGGAATTAGAAATCTGTTTATATAAATAAATTAAGCTAATTGCCATTTATTTTTTTCTTAAGTGAATCTAGGCTGACAAACATACCTTCACAAAATGATACTGAATTCTACATGGAAAGAAATTTTTTTGATCTTACTTGTGAGCTTTAATTCTGTTAATATCCCAATTACCCTCTTTATCTGTTGAACTATAACAGCCTTCAAAGTACGTTATATTTGTAGCAGTTTTTGCAGAACAACCCACTTCTCTATTTAAAGGATGTACTTAGCTTCTTTATATCTGTCAGTTATATATATTATCTTGTTATTCCTGTACTGTCAACATGTATTCCCTAATGACATAACATTGAAAAACGTTAATAGAGTGAAAGCATTTCTCTTCCTAAATTACTTTGGGATGAACGTTCTATTCAATGTTTGGCTTTGGAACATTTAAGCAGAAATGTGTTTTGAGGAGCAATTAGTTAAATTTTTATATGCTACTTTGCAGCCAATAGGAACTCTCTTTGCTAGCTATTCTCACAAGGCAAATAAAATGTATTAAAATACTAAATACGTAATCACTCCATACTGGCTAACACTGCAACCTGTAGAAAGAAACATGTTCTTCCACTCTGGCAAAATATTTGCTGCTTCTGTGAAGAATGAATGTGCCTCTTTGAATTCTCTTGAGAGCAAAACATAGGATGCTTATTAGTTACATGGAATATACTAGTTCAGCTGGAGCAGTTCACAGTAGAGTACAGCTGCTAGCCCGGTGTATGTTTTATTGCTTCCCTCACTGTAGCGAAGTTTCTGAAATGGAGCATTTGAGTCTTTTGGTTCTAAATACTGCTTTTTTTTTTGTGTGTCACTGCATAAGATCGAGGTTTACTCTGAGCAAGCAATACCAGAAACTTATTAAAATGAGCATGATGTGAAGACTCTTCCTTCCATCCCCTCACCCTACCCTCAGTTGATTGTTTTGGGTTTTTTTCTGCCCTCATTCAAGCAGAACTAAAGGGTATCTACATTTAAGTGTAGTAACAGGCATACAAGACATGGTGCTCCCACATTTTTGTTAAGGAAGTGAGTGAAAAGCAGAAGATACCTTGTGAGTATGCAGGGTCAGCTAACGTAGCCACTGGTTTTCTCAGAACAGCTGTATAGACCATACCCTGTGAAGAAAATTCTGGTTGTCCTTTCAATTTTTTCCCCTCCTCTAACCTACTTTTCATTTGAAAATTAAGTAAAAAGAACTTAAAAGCAAAAGCATTATTTTCTCTAATCGTCAAGAAAAGTTACATGAATAGCTTGAAAATAGGAGAATTAAACCTGTGAATAATTAGTCTAATGCTATTTGTATAGAGTAGAAGATGTAACTTCTGCACATATAGTAAGAGGAACAAATGAGAAGACATTTAAGATGGGACTTGGTGGTTTGTTTTTTTTGTTTTTTTCTCCTAGCAGTGCTCCATATTTAGCAACACAAGTGTAGTTTTGCTTGTATTACTTCATCTTCTCTCAACTGGTAAGATCTGTTTTTCCTGGTACAGTGCTCATGAAACCTTGTGCCGTTCCGCAATACACTTTCCCTTGTATGCTCCCTTGTGATACAATTTTTGTCATTCTGAAGTGTTTCTTTATTCTGAATTACTCTCTGTGAATAAAACTTCTTTCTCTTTGCTTTCTTCTCTTGGTTCCTGTTGAACACATTTTGGGAGATGGGGGTGAAATGAAGAGCTTGAAAATCTGTTCCTTACTTGAGACTCACTTACTCAAAATGCTTATGCTCCATCTTCTGTCATACTGGTTGACCTCTTTTGCTTCAGTATTTTTGCTTTTTGTCTCGGTGATGAATTTTACTTACACGTCAGGTTAACAGAAACTTATTTCAGTAAGAAGAGAGTGTGTTCCTGTTTTTAGAGGTGGCGTTAGCTTTTCTGTGAGTGAGGATCGGAGAAGAGGAGCTCAAGAAGGAGAATGAAGGGTTCTGTGAAACCAATCAATCGTGTATTGGTGCAGTGGTACCCCTACAGCTCAGAGCATATGACTGATGCTTCTGATCACTTGGAAACGTAGTGAGAAGGCAGGTGCCCTTATGTGGGGTTGTAGTAGACTAATATTTACAGAGTAGGTATGTTTTTGGGGGGATGTGGTGGAGTCCTGTTTTGTTTTGGTTTTTTGGGAATCATGGGATATGAAGGCTTTTAACATTCATCAAAATCTTAGTAAATCTGCACTTGATACAATTTCTAAACCATGATTTGAACTAACTGCTTACAGTTTTGTTTGTTCTGTTTTTTTCCCCAATTGGTACAGGTGGAATCAAGAGATACTTTAAACAGTATTGCCTTGAAATTTGATACAACGCCCAATGAACTGGTTCAATTAAATAAGCTTTTCTCCAGAGCAGTCGTTCCTGGACAGGTACTATTACACTATATATGTTACTTACTCAACAAAGACCTTTTTCCCTGTATTTCTTATCTCTCCAAGAGAAAGCATAAAAGTGCTTATTATCTTACTGGTTTTCCTTTTGGCCTTGTTAAAGTGGTTTTTTGTTTTCCTCTGATTTGTGAATTCCTTGCGCCCATTAAGTAACTTCCTGAAACAGGAAACATAATGAAGCTACATGTCTCTCTTAAATAAGATCACAGGACTTTCAAAACTAAACATACTTGATAGTATAGTAACACTGGGGTACAAGCTAAATTCTTACTTTGCAAATATAGGAGACTGTTTACCAACTCTAACTCAGAAGATGAATTCAGGGTGCAGCCTACAGACAGCATTCCTGATTGCATATTACGGTCTGCAATTCTATTTTAATAAATCAAGTAATGTTTCTACTTCACTCTGAAAACTTGCTGTCTTTACCAGCAGTGTGTGAACTATCATTCACTTCTTATAGATTGTTACGACTTACATCTTTTTTCCCTTTTTTTTGCCTTCTCTCTTCACTTCTTGAAAGCCAGACTTGTACACTGAGCTATCGCTTTTTTCCAGCGTTAACTATTGGCCATTTGGTATTAGCCTTCTCTTTGAAAAACATCCCGTGTTTATTTCAGATTACTGCAAAACTTTATCTAGGTAGCTGGAATGCCTACCATGCCCAAAATAATGTATTTAAGGGGTGAATAACTTCATTTGCTATTTATTGTATTTTATTACTTTTAACTCTTATTTTCTTTTTACATGCGGTGCTAATAGCTGTATCTCTGAACTTTTTTCCTCTGCCTATTTCTTGGTTTTTCAAGTAGAGTAAATAGCAAGATAAATATTCTGGTAAATAGCAAGATAAATATTCTGGCAGGCCTTCCCTGGTCGCTCTATTAGGTGTTTCTGGTGTGCCATATACTTTTAATGCTTTCTGTCTAAACTTTTCCTTCAATTATTATGTCAATTATTATGACTAAAAATAAATCTTAAGATAGCATTTAAAAACGTCAAAAGCGAAGATAAACGCTACCATGCAAAGTACTTGTTAATTCCCTCAACTCATAGTTTCTGTTTAAAATTAGTGGGAGGGAG